CTTTAACACACTTTCAGATGCTCATTCATCTTTATTTCGCGCTGTGACCGGTATTATTAAGCCGGAAGAGAGATCAGCGCTGCTGCTTCTCCAGAGCGATCTCACGCCACAGCGCCAAAACGCTATTTATGTTTTTGAACTCCTAAAGAAAATGGACGTAATTTGAAAATTGAGACTTTGTTTCATATCAATAGTAACAAAGGACAAAGATTATTGCGATTTGTTGGATGCGCGCAGCCGCGATACAATGTCCCATTCATTTAAATGAAACAGGATGACTAATCGATTCTTGAGATTTACGAATCGATATCGGTTTGTAAAAATGAGAATCGATTAATATCGAGAAATCGATATTTATTACCCAGCCCTACTTTAAAGCATACGTCACTTCCCCCACCACCCCAAACTTCCTCAGATTCTGACGCTAGTGCTCAACTCGTTTGATTGCCGTCTGTATGTTTTTGTCATGGCCGAACAACAGCTACAAGAAAGAAGGCAACGGTTTATCAGAGGAAACTAAAAAAAGAAAAGAGTGACAGATTAAAAACCAGGATGAGGATTAACATTGGTCCAGCTTTCGCTTCGCTCGCTGGCGTGTGAGCTAACGGAGGAGGGGTGCTCGACCGATGCGGACGCTTGCCTGAACACAAATGCTGTTTCCAAGGTAACCCAGATAAATTCATATGAATTTATCTGGGTTACCTTGGAAACAGCATTTGTGTGCAGGCAAGCGTCCGCATCGGTCGAGCACCCCTCCTCCTGCTTATAAGCAGTGTAGTGTTTTCTGGTATTCCGGCTACAGCCGATGGTGTTATGAGTGTAATAAAATGCCCACAGCCCAGTGTTCATTTCAACACACAAACACAGCCCGCCTCAGTGCAGGGCTCGCACAAATATAAAAATCCACTCATGTCAAATGTAACGATACATTAAATGTAGTGAACGTGCCCACGACTCAGTAGTACCCACAAACACTAACGTTACACACCACATGTCCCACGGTTTCTGTAAAAATAAACCAACACATAACGTTACAGTCAGCTCAGGCCGACGGTGTCTTCAGTGCATTGAATGTGCCCGCTGTCCCGCACCCACATTCACTCACAGGCATGATAAACCCCGGGGTTCACCCGACTCGCTCTCTCTCAGTCTACTTCTATAGAGGAATCGAGCCCGGCAAGGCTGCCCGGCCCACCTCAAACACTGCAAGCACACACACAATCTAAAGACACAGGAGGCTGACCGGTTGACTGACTGTGGACTTTAATTTGCAATACTGCTGCAGAGCTTGTGGCCTCTAGGGACGCCAGACGTGAAAGTTACAGGTCGAGCGCCTCCTAGTGGCCAAAAGTTCCACAGTGTGGCTTTAACATAGTTAAAGGGTTAGTTCACCCAAAAATGAAAATTAAGTCATTAATTACTCACCCCCATGCTGTACCAACCCCGTAAGACCTTCGTTCATCTTCGGAACACAAATAAAGATATTTTTGATTGAATCTGAGGGCTGGATCACTTTTCCATAGACAGCCTGAGGGACTGCCTCTTGACGGCCCAGAAAGTCTTTAAAATAAAAGGTTTAAATATTCCGTATAAGATGACGTACTGATATAGCCGGAGGCGCAAAACGTTCTGTTTACAAGCAGTACGTCATCTTATACGGTAGGGGGCGGTAAAACTCCTAAGCGGTGAGCAGCCGGTAACAAAAAGTAGTCGAAGAAGAACGGTCTCGTCTCAGTTCTCGCGCATGCGCCCATAAGGAAGTAATGGAAAGTCGAATAAAGTCGTTATTTACGGTTTTTTTTCGCACAAAAAGTAGTCTCGTCACTTGATAAAGTTATAGTTGAGCCACTGTAGGCACATGGAATATTTAAACCTTTTATTTTAATGACTTTCTGGGCCGTCAAGAGGCAGTCCCTCAGGCTGTCTATGGAAAAGTGATCCAGCCCTCAGATTCAATCAAAAATATCTTTATTTGTGTTCCGAAGATGAACGAAGGTCTCACGGGGTTTGTACAGCATGGGGGTGAGTAATTAATGACTTAATTTTCATTTTTGGGTGAACTAACCCTTTAATTAAAACCCCTTAAGATTAACAGGCGGGCACACGGCCATTACACATTTAAAACAGTACTAAACCTAATCTTGACAAACTACATACATCATTTTAAAGCTTACAATCTCTAGTCTTCATATTTAGTGACTGATTTTCAAAATAAATTACAGAGCAGCAATGCATCACTTTCAAACAAGAATATTTTCATACTCCTCAGGGGTGTTCAGACATGCGTGTTCAGACCTTTATTTTGAAATGGTGATGGACATGGAAATCATGAAAGACTGGTAGAAACCTCTTGGTAGAAAACTGTTTTAAATGTATATAAAAATAATGTATATAACGTATATAACGAGCTATAACGAGTGTTATTTTATGCGTTTCTTCAAGGTTGAATTCATATCAAAATCTGCCAAACTTCCCTTACTAATCGAATAGTACGTCTACTTCATGGATTCTATGAAAATTGTGGAAATGTATGGTTCAGATCACTCAAACCATAGACCTTATATGGGCAGTAGAGGATTCTGGTTGTCATAGTGAAAAGGTTAGGTACTGCCAGAGCCATACTGTGCCCAAACAAAATAACTGAAAACTATTTTTTTTTTAATAATCAACTTAACTTTTTGTGTGTGTGTGTGTGGCATTTTTAGAGTCCAATTTTGAAAATATATTTCATATAAAATATCAATAATTACATTTTTACATCTTTCATTTTTATAAACTCAAACTTATATTTTACTCGGTTTCACTTTTTCCATTTATTTCACTTCTACAAAAATCTGCCAAAATGTCTTATTTAAAATTCAACAAGACCAAATTTACGTCTATGTTCCAAAGCATTCTTGAATTACAAACAAATTAGTTTTATTTTCGTGTCAAGGAAATGGAAAAGAAATGAGCAAACAGCAAAGAGAAAAGAAAAGGAAAGGGGAAAGAAAAAGGAAAAAAGGGTGATTACAGTAAATGATTAAGAGTAAATCTCCAGGCCCAGAGTCTCACCAGCACCGCCGCAGCTGGGCCGCAGAGAGACGCTGCCGTCGCGGGAGAACAGCACTCCTTCTGCGGCCTCCACCGGCACCAGAGTCCGCCTCCACGAGCCCTGCGGCCGGGGCCCCTGAGAGAGGACGCAGCTCAGCTGGAAGCAGAGGGCCCAGGCCTGCTCTTCACTCACTGCCTGATCCTGGATCTGGAGCATCTCAGCCAGAGACATCTGATCATACGCACACATCTGACCCGTGCTCGTGTCATATAAAGACAACTCCATCATCTCTAACAAAACCCGTGAATGTCAGCTTTGACTAGTGTTTATAACGCTACCTGAATAAAAAGAGTACTTCCACGATTATTTATTATGTCCTTCATATGCGCGTGCTTCACACAACTCTCCTATATATAATGAATGATAATGACCGTAATTAACTGCACCTGAGAACCGAGTCACTTTGCTCTCGCTGTCTAGTGTTGTTGAGTGAATCGGTTCGTTCATACTGTTAATCGGTTCGCAGAATTGTTTTCACAGAGATAAATCAAAATTTAAGATAAATATCTGTGTATTTAGTCTACATGAAACTTTTATGGTGTTATTGTGAAAGACTGTACACTTTTTGCAAATAAATGTTTGGTTTTATAAGCGAACGCAACTAATTCGAGCCCCTGAAAAAAAAGGTTGTTTCGCGATAGCTAAGCTACTTGTTGAATTCGTTACCATTATTCTTACTAGACATAAAAACTCTCACATATTACATTCTTGCTGTAACCTATATACAAAACGCCTATGTATTTTAGAAATATGTAAATAAGACAAATCCTGAAACCTTAAGATTGATTGGTGGATGAAAATATAAATCCCCTTTGGATTTGGAAATGTCATTTCATTTTTTTTAACAGCTGAGTGCTGGTGCACAGAGGACATAGTATAACAAGAATAAAATAATTGTTCCATGGAGCAGCAGTTGTTTCTTATGCTCTAAACAATGTGATAACATAAAAATAGCAAATTCAAAAGCTTTTTTTCCTTTGTCCATGTGTTCCGCTGTCAAAACACTTTGTTACTTTGATGGGATAAATGGGGTTGCAACCCAGCCAAGCCTTGAGGTTTCACTTTAGTGGTGAAATACATTCATTAAATTCATTGCATATTCAACTTCCATTAAATTAATATATGAAGAGTTCAGATGCAAAAGCCTCTAAATGCCATTTAAAATTTTCTTCTAAAATGACCATTTTTATCAAGCCTGTATATTTCAGTTCAGTTATTTCACTTAAATGACAATTAATAGGTAATCTTCATTGCCATTTAAGTGAAATTACTGAACTTAAATATACAAGTTTGATAAAAATGATCATTTTAGAAGAAAATTTCAAATGGCACTTAGAGGCTTTTGCATCTGAACTCTTCATATTGATATATGAATATATTTTCCCCAGGCCATACTAGCAGTTAAGGAATGAGTTAAATCTCTTTTTGTGCTTGAAAATGTGCCTAATAATCATGCACACCTGAATATAAAGTGTTTTTCATTTCAAGCCTTCATGAACAATTAAATATCACTTATAAATGATAAAATACAAATAGTAGTTATTAAGATTAATGTGGTTTGGAATTGACCAAATGTGCCTGAAAAAAAAAAATATGATCAGAAAATCAACAAGCCTAATAATTCTGCACACACTATATTTCTGACTATTATTTTAAAAGACTTGATTAAAAACATAAAATATGCACATAATGAGGGTATATGACAATTAATGACTATATACTGCACATTATGCATGCTAGCATTCAGTGTTGAACTTTCCCAGTCTTGTCTTTAAACCTGTTCTAATTTATGTTTGATATGTTTTGAATTAAATGAAACTTATGGTACTTTTGCATTAAAAACATCACAATTCAGGAGAGAGCCTCTCAATAACAGCATGCTCTAGAGACAAACACAAGTCAGACGTACACTTGTAAAAATAGTTTAATGCATGTGATCCGGGGCTAAACGGGTGAACATTGGTGCTGACAGCATTGAAATACAGTTAATTTGTTATACAAGTCATAGTGGGGAAGTAAAAATTCTCATTCCGTCACATTATTATATTGTGATACTACAGACATGATTCTATTCTTAGTCTGCATCACATGATTAATCTAGAATTTATCAATATTAATAATAATAATAATAAAAAAAGTCACACCGAAACAAAGACATACACATCATACACAATTCTAAACATCATCTCATCTAGTAGCCAAGGACAAAATACAGTATCATGATTAAAAAAAGAAAGAAAGAGACAACTTTCTGTACATGGTTATCTTGCTCAAGACCAAAAGGGAAAAACAGCAGATAAAACGCGTTCAGAGACAAAAAAATAATGTACAATTCACAGGTTTATTTGCGTGTCATGATTACTTTGACTTCCTTCGTTTTGCCTGGGTGGGACTGGCTCCAGTGTTTGATTCTTGAAAGAGGGTGGAAAAAGAAAAGGTAGATCAGACATCTCAACCAGGACCAGCATACAGTGGGTGCTAACGGGTCATGTGACCCACAGGGGGCGCTCTCTGCTCTAAACAGATGCTAGCCGAAACATCTTACGCAAGACATGCCGTCAACTCATAACAGAGAGGAACGTCCATTATTGGAGAAACAGATTATAGTATTATCAAACTGTTATTTTTGTACACATACAGTTTCTATTTCGCAGTTGTTTTAAATAAATGAATCATGCACTACTTCACCACTAGTCAGCGCTGTTGGAATACTGAAGCGCTCTATAACCATAATGTATTCTTCACATCATGCCTATTTATCTTAACACGTGACCAAAGAGAGCATGTGACCGCGAACACACGCTACGTGAATCGCATTTTATACTTTAATAAGCTATTTTGAAGCAGTCGATTGAAGATCTAAGTGGTGTGAGCATAGATGTGTTATTGTTACACTGTTGAAATGTTAAACGAAGAGGTTAAAGGTGTAGTTCACTTTTGAAAAAACTTTTGCTGATAATTTACTGAAGATGTCCATGTCTTTCTTTCTTCAGTTGCAAAGAAAATAAGGTTTTTGATGAAAACATTCCAGCATTTTTCTCCATATAATGGACTTCAATGGGAACCAAACGGTTCAAGGTCCAAAAGACACTTTCAGTGCAAAGTGCTTTAAACGATTCCAGACGATGAATAAGGGTCTTATCTAGCGAAACGATCGCTCATTTAATAAATAAAATAAAGTTTGTTTTAGAAGCACAAATGCTCGTCTTGCTCTGTTCTGTGATGCACATTCGTGACTCTCCTGTTCGAACTCGTTCATCAAAATGAACAAATCTTTTTCCGAGTCATTTGGTTCATTCAATGAACGAAACGAATGAATTGACTCGGAAAAAGATTTGTTTATTTTGATGAACGAGTTCGAACAGGAGAGTGACAAACGTGCGTCACAGAACAGAGCAAGACGACCATTTGAGCTTATAAAACTTAAACTTTGTTTCTTTTTTTTTTTTAAATGAGTGATCATTTCGCTTGATAAGACCCTTATTCATCGCCTGGAATCGTTTAAAGCCCTTTGAACAGTTTGCAGTTTGTACTGAAAGTGTCTTTTGGACCTTGAACCGTTTGGTTCCCATTGAAGTCCATTATATGGAGAAAATCCTGGAATGTTTTCATCAAAAACCTTAATTTCTTTTCGACTGAAGAAAGAAAGACATGGACATCTTGGGGGACATGGGGGTGAGTAAATTATCAGCAAAAGTTTTTTTTTTTTAAAGTGCACTACTCCTTTAATGTTGATGTACCATAGTCCGTCCGAATACTAGATTCTGATTGGCTGGAAGGTGTGTAATAAAATCGTTTAAAGTCCCCGTGGTGAAAATCAAGCTTTTAATGCTGTTTGTGTCTATATGCTGTTTTTAATACGCTTTAAGACAAATCATGTGTAAATTCATAAGTCGACAGCATTGCTGAGTATTTTTTCCTTAAAACTGCAGAGAACGCTGGTGTTTATGACGCCACAAACGATCTTGTAACCAATCAGGGATGTGTCTCCCGAAAGCATCGTTAGCCGACTATGGTCGCAAGTTCCGTTATTATCTGCATAGTTGGTGTTTCCCGAAACAATCGTTCCAACAAACATTCGCGAACAGCATCGCAAAGTTGTGTGGTTTGAACGACATCGTTTAGGCATAGTTTCTATATTGCATCACAACTGGAAGTATTACATCCTTATTTTGAGCAAAATAAGCAAGATGACATTCAGTAAAACCGGTGTCTTTTATTTAGAATACATACAAATGTGATTTACGTCTTTTAGTTTGTCAAAAGATTTAAAGTAACGTGTTTGAAGAGTGCGCATGTGCGAACGTGCTCTACTCTACAAATATTGAGTCTGGTAATAAAGCAAAACAACTGAGAACAATTAGAAATAGTCCTCAGATGACATGTCTGTAATTTATATAAAACAAATCTAGCGTTAATTGGATCTCAAACAGTTTCATTAAAAGTAGTTAACTCCACCATGTGCGAAACCAACGTGGTTGAACGATACTTTGTGACGGTGGGTTTCGCGAAACAGTCGACAACGCATCGTACTATGGTAGTGAAGCAGCGAACTACATAGTTCAGTCCCTCCAGGATTTCACGATTTTTTTTTGGTGATTTTTGCGATCAAAATGACTGATTTTGTGGTGGTAATTTCCAAAAATTTGTGAAAAAATTTGCGATTTATATATAACATTTACCATAATAGTATTCAGTCCTTCCAGTTTTTTTTGTGATTGTTGCGGGCAAAAATTGATTGATTACGCGGCCCGATTTCTTTAAAAATGCAATGGAATATGCGGGATTTTTATGCGATGAAATTGCAGGAATTTGCAAAAATTGAGGGAACTTGCAAAAATTGCGGTTTGATGAAAAAGAGAAAAAAAAGTGATTCCCCCAACATCCTGTTCTCACTAGGCTAATGTAAGAGTCATTTTCTTATTACTTCCTTTGATAAGCAAGAATACTACATCATAGAAAGTGCTGGGAATATTTAATTTCTCATCTTGTTTTATTTCAGACTGTAAGAGTGTAAATAAGGTGTGGCCCCTTTAAGAGCTGCGCGCTCCTGTTGAACTCTCTGCAGTGTTATATGTGCGCCTCGAACACCCCATGTGTGCGGGTAATTTCTGTTTGATGCTACTACTTTTATCTTATGTTGTTTATTAAGTAACGATGTGACAGTAGAACGTGTGCGGACAGTTATACGAGTTCGATTTGTGAGATGTCAATCGCCTCCGCTAGTCTGTCTGGCGTCGCGTAATTGCGTCACTTCATAACGTTCCCATGGAAACAGGGGGAAATGGCTGCTCTTATGTGAAGCAAACGCAACATTTCAACTTTCTGCTAAGATACATGTAACTTTTTTTTGCAACGAAAATGCGAGGATTAGGAAATTATGCAAACCCCGCATATTTTGCACGGAAATCGGCAATTTATGCGGCGAAAGTGCGGCGTATTTGAAAAAATGCGGCCCCCGCATAAATATGCGGACTTTGGCTGATTTTGCATTGAATTCAGCGATCGCATAATCGCGTTTTTCTGGAGGGACTGATAGTTGTACAGGAAACGCACCCCAGATCAACGTGTGATGGTCAACGAGTGGATCTCTGAGTGAGTGGAGGCAGGGCTCATTTGCATATTCATAGAACCGCACATACTAAATGAGGCAAGGTTGCTTTCCAAGTTATTTGAATAGTTTTTTTATATATATTGTAAGCAACTTGTAAGCTATAAACAAACCACGAGCACTGAAGAAATCAGTAGTCGTGGCAACCCCAAAAATTTAGTTGAGGAGAGTGCTAACCTGTACCTTTTCCTAAGTTAGATGAGGCTGACCCTGGCCTAGCAGCTCGTTTCCTCTGTCCGTTGTCAGACGCTTCCTCCTCGGGTTCCTTGTCTGTCCGTGAGCTCCGTCGACTAGGACCTTTCGCTTTCTCAGCGGTGGCTCTCGTGTCCCTGGGGAAGGAAGGCGGGCAGTGGGGTTAAGAAATCAACCCAAACGTTCACAGAGCACGGCCAGTTTGCAGTCGTACAGTCAACTTGTATGCTATATGCACTCTAATTGTCTTCTCAACTGTTCTCAATGAAGAAAGTTACCACATCTGTCCCCTGTACAACTGAGGAATTCATACTTGCTGTTTTTCCTCATCTACCACAGATAACGTCCGTCCCGTTCATGACCATATTTACTGAAATGGCCACGCTGCCCCGGGCAGGGAATCTGAATCTACAGGTCTGGTATATACATACCTTGGGGCTAAGTTGACGGGCGTCTTTCTTTTCTTTGCCCATCTGTTATAGAAGTGGAAAAACAGCGGTGAACTGCTTTGATGCTGAACAACATGTTTTTCTCCTTGCCCATATTTTGAGTACAGATCAAATAAAAGAATGATTTCAGGAATCATCCTCATGAGGTGAGCTCGTTCAGATTAACCAATACAATTACTCTTTGATTGAAACACTGAATCAACAAAAGTATCAAGCACATTCATGTTAAAAATCAGGTAAAGAATAATGAAAATAAAGTGCTCAGACAGACTTCACACAACAAGTTTAGCGTATTGATGACGAACGAGAATTACACATTGCCTTACCCTTGCTCTGCTGCAGTGGTAGTAACCCCTTGACCTGTAACTAGAGAGAGCTGAAATTAGTTTAGTGTTAAACACTGATTGTGAATTGTATTTTCTGTGTCAGCTTCAGGCCGCATCCCTGGGAGTTCGTCTGAGCCGAGCTGTTAGAAAGCTGAGCAAAAAGCGTTAGTTCAGAATACAAGAAATGATTTTGGTCGAGGACTCGATCCAGTCTTGATTGCATAATCTTTAATTAGATTAGCATACGCTAAAGCCGAAAGCATACTTCGGTTTTTGTGTGAGCTAACTGAGCATGTGTACGTGATGGAAATGTCGTCATCAGTACTCACACATGCGCAGACACTGGACAAACAAATGTCATTAGGGGTTGAACAACTTCACTGATGCATCATTGAGGACCAAATAGGCCTGAACGCAGTCTGCCTTGTGCACAGCTACGGCATATGACAGCGCTCCTACATAACAGCTTATTTTATCAGTCTATTATATTTCTCACAGATATCTGCTTGTTCTAAATCAGATACAGATAAAGTATCCAGATAAAGTTCTCCCTGGCAGCGTCTCTTTACTGATAGTGAAGCTCGAGTTTTAGCTGAGAAATATGCTAGAACCTGTCAGTTTCTGAGCTATCTTATTGATAAATCACTGAAGAGTTTACAATACATTTCTGTGCTACTGAATGATTCTGTGTTCGTGCGATCTGACTGTAATATGCACGCTACTGAGTGTGTGTGTGTGTGTGTGTGTTATGCAACAGCAGTTTAGAACTGAGTTCAGACTGCATGATTTTAGCTCGCCGACAGGTTGATATATCGCCGACAAATGTCCGAAAAATCGCAGGCAAATCGGCGCTCGTTCACGCGAGTGACAATCATGCAGTGTGAATGAGCAAAGACGCGATCTGAGAGAATCGCCAACGAGTCGTCGACGCCCGTGAGATATTTGACATTAGGGGTGCAACGGATCAAAAAACTCACGCATCGGATCGTTTCTCGGATCAGGGTCACGGATCGGATCATTTTTCGGATCAGCAAAAAAAAAAAAAAAAAAAAAAAAAAAATTCTCCCAAAATAACTGTAATAGCCTACTGACAAATTCTTTAATAATAAATAGACTTAAACATTATGATATTCTGTTTTATTTTAACTTCACAGGGTTCCAGACTGAAAGTTGAGGGCAGCATCACCTCAAATGAGAACTCACAGCGAGTTCTACAAAAAAAAAAAAAAAAAAATTCTGGTAGCACTGGGGCTGACAATAAATCACTAAGCTTAATTTAGGGTGTAGATGAAATTAACTTGGTTATTATCATTTATAATGTCTTAATATCAATTAATAAAAGTAGTGAAAATATCATCGTACTTTTTTCATTTTAGGACACTCTTTAAAGGATAAACAAAAAATGTGTTGGTAATCACATAAAAAATTCAAAAAATAAAACATTTATTTATGATATTATTGAAGTGCTGGGAAAAGATGTGTAGTAGGCTACTTGTAAGCATTTGACTATTTCTTACACATTATCATATATAGGCTGATTTGTGGACTGAAAGCCTTCTATAAGTGTTTCTCCTGGTTTCCACGTCAGCTCTGTTTGATTTGATATGGTTTATAACAGAAACCTGCGCCGAATCGGAGTGTTTCTCACTGGATCTCGTGGTGTTGATGTTATTAATTCTGAGGCGAATTCAATGGATTTCTTCACTGGATCTCCTAGTAACAGTGTTGCGTGAGCGAGATCGGCCCGCAACTGTCAAGTTCGGGGCTTTATTTTGTCAATGGATCGCTGCTGCTGCTCCGACCACGGTCCTAATCATAAATGAGTAGCGTATTTTCGTTCCACTTTCATTTTGTTTGCATTCGCTGCTAGGTAACGACTAACGAGTCGATAGATCGCTGATTGCTCAGACGCACATCAGGTTGTGATATTTGTCTCCGTCTCCCTCCCACAGATGTTTACGCGCGCTATTCTTGTCACGGATTCATTGACGCACCGCTTTACCATGCGTTTAACGTGTGGCAAATTTACTGGTCGCACATGTGCGACTGGATGTAAAATTCAGTCGCACACTCTCAAATTTTGGTCGCAGTCTGGTCTGGAGCCCCGAAATGACGCGGGGCGTTCAAGCTTCTCCGTTCCTCTGCTCGCTATGACGAAGCTGTGCGTTGACTGAACAACATGCGCACGTTTTTAAAATTTTTTTTTAATAATCAATCCGCGGATCACGTGTGTGCCGAACCGAAGACATTGATCCGAACGGATCACGGATCAGTAATGATCCGTTGCACCACTATTTGACATGCTAAATATCTGGACCTGTCTGCGATTCAAAATCCTGCTGTGTGAAGTGTTCTGACTGAAAACTATATCGGCGATTACCGACAGCCAATAGAGTGCCGAAGTGATGACGTCACTTTGTAGGACAACTCGGAAGCTAGCAGCGCATGGGTTCCCTCGACCGAAAAGCCTTCCAAAGACTTTTGGAAAATCGCAAAAAGTAAGATCGGTGTTTAACAAAGAGTTGTGACCCTTACACATTTTGTCTATCAAGATAATCTTTACAAGTTAATCCAAAATTTATACATTTTGAAGCCTATATAAAGTTTTTTTAAAAACACAAGCAGACACAATAAAGTTTAAAAAACCACAAGCAGGTTATAACTGTGTGTTCTGTGTCATAGATCAAAACGGGAAAACATTTAGAGGCTCTGTTCACCACAGACCTTATTTCAGGCGATTTAGCAAAAACCCATTCAAAAATCCCATAGACTTTAGAGCGAGGGAGACTGGAGTGCTAAAATGCTAACTCACTTCCGCGTTTTGGCCTACAGAGTGACGTCGTAACTTCGGTGAGAGAGCAGGATACAGAGCAGCGGGTTATAGATCACATATCAATGCATGGCATTGTTTCAGAAAAACGCTTCTTCTCTGTCTTTTTGGACACAAGAAATGGAAAAAAATTAGTTGAAATTTGTCAGGAGCACCCGTGTTTTTTGACGTTTCATCTAAGCTGTACCACAACACAACCAGGTCGAAAAAGTCTCAAAAAGAAAAAAAGTCTCACGTGAGAACTCCGGTCTTGCACGCGTGGTGTCGCGTTGTTTCCTTGGCACATCTCGCATGTGTTTGTTGTGAAACGTAGTTTGCGCAAGCTAGACAGTTTTGTCGGCGATTCTTCCTCAACATTCTGTTGCCAATCCATCGCGCAAAGAACAGCGACCCGACTACTTTTAAAAATCGTGCTGTCTGAACTCGGCATCACCTGTACAATAGGCTGTGTAATACTGCATTCACACACTCAATTATGAGCATCCAATGGTATAATCAAACATCTTATGAAGCGCTCTCAGAGTGAGAGCATTTATTTGTCATTTTAACAAACGAAGCGTAAAAGTGTACTTCAAATATTTCTTATCCTGTTGCACCCTCTATAGGCCATGATCAGCGATAAGTCGACTAGTCTTAACCAGAGCCCGTCTAATGGAGAGCCTTGGCACTTCCTATTAGCCCCATTGTGTATTATCTTGGTTGCAGTTCCATTAGAATTCCACTGGAGGTGATCACGGGTGAGTGCAGAATGAATGGGAGTCTATGGGGCTAAACGGCTAAATGCGTCTCTTTCACCTGCTTGTCGTTAAATTAACATAGATTTTATTGTTGATTCCGCAAGTTTAATATAGATTATAGGCCAAAAGTCGAATGAACGAGTACGTATGTCCTTTTGATTTCTTACAGGTTAGGCCGTTGTTGGCTGGAACACGCTAGCATTCTGCTATTGTGTGACGTCATCAAATTTTTGAATGGATTTTTAGAACAGATAAGTGAACTTAAAAATGCAATTTTCAGCTGAGTGTTCGTAGCCCTCCCTTTTGAATGCAACTTTCAAATTACTTGAAAAAAAATTACATCCTGAGAAAAGTGGATTTCTGGGGGTGAAACCCCATTGACTCCCATTCATTATGCACTCGACCGCGAGCGCCCCCGCATAGACAGAGTCGTTACTGCAGCCAGTCCAGAACCAGGAAGTAACCAGCCAGTGCCAATTCTCTTCAATTAGACCTTCTCTGTCTTAACCTCTACTGTGCGTGTGATCGGCCTGATCGAAGTCCTGAAAAGTGAAGCCAAAGGGCCTTGATCGCCCCCAGGTGGCTGGTCCCAGTATAGGTTATAAACCCCGCCCTCTCCGCGCAGTCTAATGGGACGTGAGGCAAACAATTTTTTCGCAAAAAAATGCTTTCTGTCATTTTCTGTCGTTTTTATCATGCTGATGGTCGTTTTTTTTATAAGTTGGTTGTAGTTAGTAATTCGATGCTATAAAAATGGGAATGTGACATGATCGACAGCTGTGTGACTGACAGCTTATCTGAGCGACTGAGGCACCAACTAACTTTTTTGTGGAATTTTCAGGAAGAGATTGGAGCATCAATTTTAATTTCTATTTTCCATAACGGTTTATTTCACACCTACTTAATGAGTACCCTGCAGTAAACTGTCCTAACCAATTCTGCGGGAGTGTGGGCGGGACCTTGATATCGCGCCTATACTTTCCCACACACTACTGCGCAGAATCCGGTCCCAAATCAGCACAAGATGTCGGTGTCATATTTAGGCTGAATCCGAATTCTCTGTCTTACTCCTTCCCCTTACCCCTACCCTTTAGTTTTGCGTGTTCACGTGAGAGGAAGGGCTATCCCAATTCTCATTTTGATCTAGGGGTAGGGGTAAGGTGAAGGAGTATATACCCCTTAAGACCAAGAATTTTCACGAGCTTACTCGTGGGTACCAAAGGGGTAAGAAATGCACTAATTTTTTTTTTACTTAAATGATTGATAAAAAAAATATGACCATCTTGTTTTGTGCTCTACACAATTATGTACATATATATTTGCAACTATGTTGTTTATTGAAACGTTTTTAAAGTTTTTAAAAATCGCTACTTTGCTACGCTAGGCTATGCTAACGTTACATTGCTGATTTGCACAATCAGTCCCACATTTCAAGATCACTCAAAATGTCCGGGATTCAGCTTTTGCTTTCTACAGTCGCCATTCATTATGTGTACATTATTTGAAACTGACACGTACGTGATCAGCTTCTCAGATGATGCATTCAGCTTCAAACGGATCCCGACTGAGACGAAAACACGGGAATATTAGATCAACAATACATTCAGATTCACCAATTTAAATGAGTGAATTCAGTCCGATTGAAACAACACCTTGTGCATGTAAACATAATGAATAGTGAAGACGGAAAGCAAAAGCCCAATCCCGGACATTTTGACGGCATCTTGAAAGTTTCGAGAAGTTTGTGATCAACACTTGTTGCCCCGGGTGACACAGACGCCAGTTAAGGACGATGTAAGATGACGTAACCGAGTGGCGTCTCATTTCATAGGGGTATGTTTGCACTAGCGCTTTCTTACCACTCGGTTTCAAGGGACAAGGGCTAGGGGTAAGACAGAGAATTGGGATTCAGCCTTAGACTTTGGCGGCTTCACTTTTCTACAATGGAAGAGAGTTAAGGTGCGTCATCCATCTTTTTTTACAGTCTATGGTGTTCGCGCACACTATCAGATGCGAGAGTACTTTGAAAGGCAATGCGCTCAGCCGTAATCGTATGCTTAAAACCCGAAGTATACTTTAGGCTCAAGGTAGTTCACATATTACTGCATATTAGCCTGACTTTCATTTGCATGGGTAAAAATAGATTATGTATATTACAAAAAAACTTAAAAAGTCTTTACCAGCTTGGTCACATGAAGCTTGGTCTTCTTGTGCGGCTTCAGGGTGAGCTGTATAGTTTACGTTAAATAAAAAAGAATAACTGAAAATTAAAAATCATTCATGTTTGACTGGACAACTAATGAAATTATCTGCATTACCATCAAGCAGTTACCTGAGACGCTAGAAGCATCAACAATTGCTTCTTTAGTTTCAGCGGAGTCGGGTACACTAGTCTCCACCAGTGAAGGCGGCTGCTGTTCCACAGAGAGCTGAGGGGACGTTGCTGTGGAGGTGCCAGAAGATGTAGTGGAAGGTCCTGGAGCAGATGCAGCAACCGAAACTGTAGGCAAACTAGAGGGTGGCGAAGAATTAGCAACAGGGCTGGACAGGTGAAGCACTCCAGAGGTAGAGGCTGGCGGTGGCATATTAGACGTTGGTGTCGAAGTAAGGACTGGAGAAGGAGAGGGCGAAGACACTTTTGGAGGAGGTGCAGATTGCGGAGATATTTGAGCAGCTGGAACAGCCACTGGGGCAGGCGGCTGGAGTGCAGAAACCGTTTCAGATGCAACCACACAAGCAGCATGTGTTGTGGCAACATCCACAGTTTTTCCTAACTGAGTGGCAGGGGTTCGCACTTTTTTATCATCGTCACTGCTTGAAGAGACGGCGAGTGTAGTATTTTTGCTTACAACAGTCTGGACCGAACTGCTTTTGGCTAAGACTGTTGTCGGTGAGAGGGGACTTCTGCGGGAAACAGCTGTAGCCCCTGGGCTAGAGCAAGCAGGTGGAGAGGCTAAACGCTGTTGAAAAGAAGGAGAGGACATTCCAGGATGTAAGGATGACTGCCCAACAGGACTAGGTTTCGAGCCACTGGCATCACAGACACCAGGACTTGGCTGTTGAGTTGGTGGTACGACACTAACAGTGGAAGCCTGGCTTAAAGGTACTTGAACTTGAAGCTGCCCGATGACAGTGCGGCTCTGCTGAGTAGCAGCAACGCTGACGGCGGGTGAGCTTGTCGGCACAGGTGTCGATGCAAGTGCGGAGGGGGATGTAGTTGACACAGAGGTAGGAGTAAGCTGGATATTGGCAGAGACTATGGGACCAACCATTGTGACAGGCTGAGACATGACGTTAGTGCTTGATGGTACGGACGTAGCTTGAAATATGGAATACACAGGTCCTGTGATGAACTGTGGACGCGTTTGTGCAGGATTTTGTTGTCGAATATCTGGAGGTCTTATGTTTTTATTGGGAACTGCCAGTACCTTGGAAACAATAGCTGAAGGAACTACAGAAGCAGTGTTGGTAGCAGAGCTAATGGGATTGGAGGTTACATAGACTGTGATCTGGTTTTGTTGAGTTGGTGCTGATGAGATGGGCCTTTGCAAGACTGTTTGAGATGGATTTGAGATGGGTATTAGATTGTGACTGGAACTTACTGAAGTGTTGGGAATTGAAGTGAGGCTTAACAGCACAGCTTGGTTTGAACTAACGCTTGATACAGCACTGACAGACTGCAAATTTGCACTGCTACTGGGAACAAAACTTGGACTTGATACGGCAGCAGATTTAGGTTTTTGATCCGTTTCACTCGTGCCAATATTTGTGCTTTGTGAAACAACAGGATTGGTTTGGTTCTCCTGAGCTAGGGGAGCATGAGGACTCAATTTCTGCACAGGGTCTCCACCCACTTGAGGATTATTTTGAGATTTCATTGACCCTGTATTGTCCAATAGTTGATTCAGAGACGTTGGAGCATCTCTAAATGCTGGCGATACAGCAGAACCAAGGTCATGTTGTGGTGTTGCCCGAGGTTGTTGTTTATCTTCAGCACGCTGTTCAACCAAATTGTTAGGCTCTTGCCGTCTGGGCTCCTGAGACGGCACCCGAGGGCTTGCCATTTTAGGTGCGGACTGCTCTCTTAACTGAACTGGCTGATGCTGCTCTGACTGTCCATCTCTGACTGTGTCAGCACTGCCAGGTTGGGTTTGCACAGAATGTAAGCTCTGTTGTGATTCTCCAGGTCCTGCCGATGGTAAAGATGCAGAGGTAGTTGGGAGCACTGAGTTGGGACTAACCATCATGTTCTGTTGACTAACCATAATTTGCTGCTGATGTGGAGGTGCTGTCAGGGAAGCCTTGGCACCCTTCTGTCTTCCTGGGCTTGGAGTGGCAGCTTTTTTATTTGAAGCAGGGCTGGACCGTCGACTATTACTGGGACTAGCCCTTTTAGCTTGCCCAACACCAGTCTGTTTGTCTTGTTTTCCTCCAGAGCTTCCTATGCCACCACCTGACGGATAAGACTGTGGGCCATTATTGTTGCCACTGGTATTATTGTTGACAGGAATAGTTGCTAAGCTTGGTGGAGCCTGACCAATTGCTTTAAGGGTGGTTGGGTTAAGACCTTGCTGATCAAAGCCTCGATTAAGGTTTGGCTGCCGCGGTGGCAGAGGAATGTTAATTTTTGGAGGGAAAAGGCCAGCAATAGAGGCATTCAGTCTCTCGGGGGACAGATTTATTTCAGAGGGTTCAGTACTAGGTGGACGGTTGGTTGGTGTTAGGGGGTGGTGATATGGTCGGGGACTGGCTCGGTTAGGGGTTTTAGGGCGGGAACTTTGGGAAGTTGGAGGAGCACTGGGAAAGTGAATATTATGTGAGCTAGTCATTGCTGTCACTTGCTGAGACTGCTGTTGGGGACTGGCTCCTGGCTGGTGGGGCACTGATAAAGGCACAGATTTCATTAAATGAGTATTAGGACCTTGGCTGGGAATCATTGGTTGATTTACATTTCCTGACTGTTGACCAATTTCAAGAGGTCCCCGGTCCTGCAAGCTGTGGTTTCCAGGGGTTTCATCTGATGGTGTTGGTTGTCCAACATCTGAAAGGGGTGTCCTTCTCGCTGCTCCAGTGAGAGATGGATTCACCATGAGTGGCATGCCTCTGGCCTTATCAGGAGAAGGCGGAACGCCTCCATGCCCTTGAAGATCGATCATTACAGGCATGTTGCCCGGCTGCGATACAGGCATTCTCTGAGATGGATCATTGGGATTGCCTAAACCCTTTGGCATGAGGCCACCTTGCTGTAGTGGCATTCGATTCTTAGCTTCTTGTTGCATTTTAATCAGCATCATCATTTGTTGCTGCTGCTGCTGCTGATGTTGTTGCTGTTGCTGCTGCGGTGTCTGTTGTTGTTGTTGTGGCTGTGACTGCAGTTGTTGTTGGTGGTGTTGTGGTGGCTGTTGTTGTTGCTGCATCTGCATTGACTGTTGCGAATGAATCTGGGTCTGGGCATGATGGGGTCCTTGTGATGTTACAGCTTGACCTTGAGGACCCTGCATACTTTGCATTTGCAGCTGCTGAATTTGTTGATGCTGTTGTTGCATCTGTTGCTGTTGCATCTGTTGCTGCTGCATTTGTTGCTGCTGCTGTTGTAACTGCTGCTGCTGTTGCATTTGCTGCTGCTGTTGCATTTGCTGCATCTGTTGCTGCTGTTGTGGGGGCATGAACTGCATTGGCTGTAATACCCTTTGATCTCCAGACTGACCAGGCTGACCTAAAGATAAAATAAAACGCAAGAATTTTTTTAATGTAAGGGATGCACAAAATAACACCTTTTCCAGAACAAGTTCGATACTTTAATTTTTGGTACTAGCCGATACAGAGTACTATGGAAGCTTGTTTCCGCCACAGAATTAAAAATAAAAAAGGTAATTGCGACTTTTTATCTCACAATTCTGACTTTTTTTCTCACAATTGCGAGATGTAAAGTCAGAATTGTGAGATATAAAGTCAGAATTGCGAGATATAAAGTCAGAAATGCGAGATATAAACTATTCGGAGGGGAAAAAAGACTTGGGCTGATAACTCGTAATTGCGAGTTTATATCTCACAATTTGGAGAAAAGATGTCAGAAATTCGACATATAAGCTCGCAATTATGTGTTATAAAGTCAGAATTGCAAGATGTAAACTCACAATTGTGAGAAAAAAAGTCAGAATTGTGAGATTAAAAAAAAATAAAATCGCACTTCTGTCTTTTTTCCTCAGAATTGCGACTTTATATCACGCAATTCTGACTTTATATCTCACAATTCTGACTTTATATCTCACAATTCTGACTTTATAACAAGCAATTGCGACTTCATATCTCGCAATTGTGAGATAAAAAGTCGTAATTATTTTTTTATTTTTTTTATTCAGTGGCGGAAACAAGCTTCCATAGAGTACCGATACCTGCCTTTGTAATTTTTAAATGTATTGGGTGGAGAATATAAATTATATTAGTTGGCTTAATTTGTTCAGCAAAGATATATTTCAGTTATTTTCATGCTTAATTAAGCCTGCTAAACTGTATTATATGAGCTTCTGTTACTTTCAATGTTCATTCTATTGCTTATCATATTTCATCTTTCATTTAATAGCACATCACATATTTAGAGCTGCTCCAGCAGGGCTCAGTGCTGAGGATTGGGTCAGTGTTCAGACACCAGTGAAATATCACAACGCTCTTCCAATTTTGATATTACAGCAAAACTACTAGCTTAATTAACGGAAATTTAAAACATTATTAAAGACAAGTAAACAGTCAGTAATTTATTTAATTCAAGTTATTTAGTTAAGAGCAGTGAGTGATTTCTTTGTCAAGCTTGTGCAGCACAGCTATATAGGCATTACTATATTTCGTTTAATACTCCACTAATTATTTTTACTTCATAGACAGCCTTCTTTTTTGTGAGTGTTTCTTTGTCTGGACACAAACACTGTACACACATTGGGTCACATTCATGAAACATTCATAAATATACCAGTAAATATGAGAGTGATTTGCACGTAAAGAGACCTTCCCGAAAACTCTTCTCCTGATTCACAAATACTTCGTAAACGTCAGATGTGATAGTGAAATGTGTGTGTGTGTTAATGAATTCCAACCAGTCGTAAATGGGATGCGCGTGCACGTTCATTCTCAATTATACCATAAATCAGGCCCATTATATCCGACATCTATATCCATATAATAACATGAATGCGAATGAAAAAGAAAGATTTCTCGGATGCAGAAATCGAAGTTTTATCATCAGAAGTTCATTCAAAATGCCACATTTTATTTTCAAGCATATACAGTGGTGTATCAGGTCCTAAAAAAGCTTGGCAGCATATTACAGATGCAGTTAATGGAGTTTCATCTGTTAATCGAACAGTCCCAGAAGTGAGAAGTAAATGGTTCAACATTAAGCTTGACCGCAAAAAAATTATTCGGAAAAATCGTATTCAAACTGGAGAAGGGCCGCCATCGATCACCAGATCTGCTATTACTGGCTCTTTTAATAAAAGTAAAAAGAAAAACCGTATGTAATTACTATATACATTTTTTTTTTCAAAATGCTCTTTAAATATGTACCCATATAATGAGCAAAACGTTCGGATGTTCAGCGCACCATTTACACATGGCTGGGAGCAGTAGATTTCTTACATACCAACTAACATTTGGAAAACACGAACATTTTAATGAATCCGAAATTTACGCCAGAGCCACTTTACACACGATTTACACACAAATTCGTTCTGCTCGTGTTTCATGAATGCGACCCATTGTCTGGTATCTGAGCATTTTTTAGATTACGAGTACAAAAGCACAGCATGCATCCATAGTTATGTAAAAACAACCAATCATCAAACAGGAGAGATTTGATTATTTACCAGGTCGATTTGCGAATTCAGAGTGTTTGGAGTTAGAGTCAAGGCCAGTCCCTTGATCACTACCCAGCCCTTGCATCTCTGCTTCATCCATACCATGAGGCACTGAATCCAGACCACTAAGACAGAGATAGACAAACTTTGTAGTAATTTGCAACTATGCAACAAAGTCGATTGTTCTACTCTAGTGTAAAAATCAAAGAATAAAAAGCCCTTACCACAGACCATCAGCAGACTGTTGTCCTTCTCCTACTTTTGGCTTTTTCTTACGAGGAGGTTTTTTCTTCTTCGGTTTAGCCTGGTTAGCAGCAACCCCACCTGCTCCTTGCTTCCCACCAGGACCAAACTGGCTGGCAGAAATATCACTTTGGAGAAGATTTACTAACAAGGGACTGGTTAAGGTCACATCCTTGTTCACTGGAAATCCACCTGCTTGCCCACATGGGCCTCCAATTTGCATCTGACCAGCAAACTGAGGATTGAAGGGCATGCCATGACCAGGAAAATGGCCATTGCCAACCTGTAAATGTTGAGAACCCAACATGCCCTGCTGTTGATTCTGCAGGTCTGAAACCATCTGTTGGCCGACATCCTGATTCCCACTGGCGTCTCCGAGCTGATGTTGATGTTGCTGACCAGCCTGTTGCTGCTGCAGCATCACCTGCTGTTGCTTTTGCTGAAGCTGCTGCTGCTGTACTAAATGGTGATTTCCTGGATGTCGCATTTGAGGTCCATGAATTCCCAATGCTTGGTTGGGGTTGCCATTAATTGGAATTTGTTGAGACTGTTGTTGTACCATTTGCTGATGTGGCTGCTGCTGCTGTAGCTGCTGTTGTTGCATTTGTGACTGTTGTGGCTGTTGGTGTTGCAGTTGTAGTTGCTGCTGTTGTAACTGCTGTTGCTGTAGCTGCTGTTGCTGCAATTGTTGCTGCTGTTGTTGTTGCAAATGAGCCAATTGTTGTTGTTGTTGTTGCTGCTGATGCTGTTGCGGAGTCATCTGTTGCTGACCCATCTGAGATTGAAACTGTGGCAGATTACCTTGAATATTGGGTGAAGGACCTCTCATCATCTGGCCTGGCATTACCCCAGGCTGACCTTTTGGTCTCTGTATCTGACTAGCTACAATGTGCTCCATCATAGCATTTTGCTGTTGTTGCTGCTGCTGCTGTTGCTGTTGTTGTTGCTGCTGCTGAAGCAATAATGCCTGGTGTCCTGGTCCTCCACTGTGTTGGTTTTGGTTCTGCATGATCCCTTGACCCTGTGGTGGCATCATTTGCTTGGGGGGAGTCATTCCACGTTGCCCTGGATTCACTGGCCTGGACAGAACAGTCTGGCCCCCTGTTTGGCTTTGTACAAGTTGACTTTGTGAGGAAACTACTGCCTGTGTTTGATGTTGGGTCTGTGGTACACCCATCATTTGAGTCTGAAGCCCTTGCTGAGGTTGCCCCATACTTCCACCCGCAGTGGTGCCTGGGGGTTGTGCTGGCATGCCAGTGTGGTGGGTCATTACAGCTCCTTGAAGGGGATTTGACTGCATGTGGTTTGGCCCTGAGGCTGAAGACTGGACACCTATGGAAACATTTTTAGAGGTGTTGAAACGAATTAAAGTTGTATAGAAAGCAAATCAAAATCCACTTTACATGTGCACATCTTACCAGTGTTTGTCACTTGTAATTGGGGTGTACTACCAGCTCCAGTGGTAGTAACCTGTCCTTGTGCAAAGTTATGATTAGCATTTGGGAACCCCATTGGCATTCGTTTGGGCATACCTGCAAAAGTTGTACATGCATATCTTAAAATACAGGCAGTATAACAATACACAGGGTTCGTACAGATACTGTAAAATGAAATTGCAGGACTTTCAAGGACTTTTCAAGCACTACTTTTTTGGTTTTCAATGACTACAATTAGAGATCACACTAATCAAACAATATCTGTAGTATTTTTAAAACTCAAATTACAGAAAAAAGGTATCCAAGTGATATTTAAACTGTATTTAAATACAATATGTATGAAATGTATTTTTTTCTGGGAAAATTAACACTGCAGCTCATTTGATAAACCCCCAGCAGACCTTTTTTTTTTTTTTTGAAAATATTATTTCAAAATATTTGAATTTTGAAATAATATTCAATTATTATGAATAATATTATTATGAGCAACCCAAATGCTCCTGTTAATACTACTTACAACACATTCAATAATATATATTAAATACAAAGTTTATAATGGCTATTATTGTTTAATAAATAATATTTTCAAAAAAAAAGGTCTGCTGGGGGTTTATCAAACGGGTTGCAGTGTTAATTTTGCACTAAAAGATTGCATTTGTGGGTGTTTTTTTCCCAGCAAAAAGTACATTTCATACATACAGTTTAAATAGTTAAAGGTTTTCAAGTACTTCTTCGCAAATATGGCTGTTTTATTTATTTTATTTATTTATTTCACACATACATCTTCATTTTTTAAATACAAAATTACAATAGTAACAAAAAGGTTATTGTGTGAAAAGGGGTAACCCCAGAGAAGCTAATAAAGCTTTTCAAGAGTTGTGTAGGACTTAAATTTCAAAAAGTCAAATTCAAGTAATTCAAACCCCTTGTACAAACCCTGAATATAATATCACTTTCACATTAATCAGCTAGAACATACCTCCCATACCACCTTGAGAAACCTGCCCATGTTGAGGAATGCCCATAAAGCCTGGTTGAATGTTTCCTGGTTGTCCCATCACAGCTCTCCCTGGAGATCCAACACCTTGTGGGAACCCCTGGGGGGTTGTGGGACGTGGGCCAAGCTGCCCCTGTCCCTGTCCCATCATTGGAGGAGTTCCAGGGGAGCCCTGTTGGAAAGGAGATGACGACGACCCAGGGGACTTAGCTGCAAGATTGCCTTGCGTGGCAGAGGAAGGAGGCAGAGGAGGAGGTGCTCTTGAGATGACTACACCTGGTGCTCCCTGAGGGCCTTTGGGCTGAGGGGTGGCAAACTGGTTTACCCCTGCCTGCTGCTGTTGCTGCTGTTGTTGTTGTTGCAACTGAAGTGGTGTCATTGTATTGAAAACCTGTCCAGCCTGCTGGCTTCCAAATGGATATGGTGGTGGTGGATGATTAGGGGTCTGAACCGATGCCAAAGAGGGTGGACGCTGCCCCATTTGTGGCTGTGGGGGGGCTTTCCTCCAACCTGGTCCCATGGGACCCTGGACAGGTGGTGGCTGGAGAACACCAGAGGGCAACTGGTTCCAGCCAGGAGGTACAGGCATCTGGTTAGAGGGGTTAAATGGACCACGTGCACCACTTAGTTGAGCCAGCTGAACCTGCTGCTGTTGTTGGTGCTGCTGCTGCTGCTGTTGTTGAAGTTGCTGTAGGGCAGCTGGATTTAATTGTCGATTTGCTTGCATGGCTTGTATGTGATGTCCCTGTGGGCCTAAGTTGCCGAGTTGAACATGTCCCACTTGGGGATGCTGGAGTTGTTGTTGCTGTTGCTGTAAGGCCAGCCCTGACAGCATGGGGTCCATTGTGTCTGAAAAAGAAAGTGAAAGATTTAACCCTAAAACCAAATTCTGGACAAATGTGGGCAAAATAGTTTTGATTTATTTTTAAAAAATACTTCCCTTGATCTGAGCGATACAAGACTTGGCTACTTTTCCTAAGTTTGCCTCCTGAACACACTTTTTTTTTTTTTACTCAATTCTACAATGTTAAGAGTAAAAAAACTCTTTAATCTTGTATTTGGGTCAAAAATGGGTATCCATTGAAATGATCATTGAGATGATCATGATCATAAGAACTTATTGGAATGATATTTTAATGTAGTTAAAAAATAAATAAAACAAACATAAGCATAATTTACATAGAAAATATGGTACTTTTTGAAGTAAATAAATTCAAAAATACCCCCAAAATAAGAAAAAAACACCATAAATGGATAGACAAAACTTTATCGAAGACAGTGATACAACATTTATAATAAATAAAAATTAGGATTACACCCGAGCCCTCTGTGCCCACATTTGTCCACAATTACAGGTTTAAGGGCTATAAAGTGAATAAGGTTTGAGGGCTACAAGAAAAAGATAAAAGGAGAACTACATCCCTGTTATTACAGTTTTTCTCAATTGCTTTGGCTCAGTTCTCAAATGTTTTTTTTATTTCCCAAAACATTAAGTTCAGATCTCTGAACAATTCGCTTCTTTTTCACACCAGATTGGAATTTCTTATTGATTTGAGCAAATTGCAAATGCTTTGGCACATGTGTGCAAAGAGTACATACAACTGTCTGCAATTTGGACAACAAAGAATTGCATATGGCTTGTTGATCAAAACTGATGACTCGATTCTCACTTACACTGTCAAACACTTCAGAACTTCTCAGACATTTTTTATTGTGTAAGCCATCACATTCAAAACGATCTATTCAATTATCATAATTAGTATACATGCATGTATATTCTAAAATATATCTGACATTAACATTGTTTGTAATGTTTGCTAAATTGGCACATGACTTCTAATTGCATTCACAATCTAATTGCAAATTACCTCTAATATGAATCAACCATTTAACCATTTAACCAATCAACTTTGGGAGTATATATATATATATATATATATATATATATAGAATGGAGGACATTCACAACCCTGAACTGCAGCAACAAGCTCATGGAAGAGCAATTGGAAGGCGTGTAAAAATACGTGGTGGTGGTAGAGGAAGAAATAATCGAGGAAGAGGTGGAAATAGAAGAGTCAGAGTCTCTGATGAAATTAGAGCCACACTTGTGGATCATGTCATAAATCTGACCATTGCAGGGGATGGGTGCAGCATTCAAGGAGATTTTTTCCACGGTGTGTGGCAATGGTAACATCAGATGTGATGTTGATGAAAATCTTTGGCCTGACCAACGTGAGCGACCAGATGTCCACCAAGAATAATTTTTTTCTTTTTTTTTTTCTTCATGAATGTTATTTGTTGTTTGTGTATTTGTGGTAATACACAAATATGAAATGTAAAGTGAAATCTTGTTACTCTTGTCAGTTACTTTACATGTACAGTAAATACACTTGTATTGTGTATATACACATGAAGTACAAAAATAAACACTGTAAAAATACAAATGTTCATAGAATTTTTTTTTTCTACATACTATTGACTTTTCTCAACAAATAAGAGATTTGTTTACAGTAAACCCTTAATTTTCATGGTTGACTGTTGTGGTGAAAAAACAACTAAACATTTTGACCAGTGTGGCTCACACAATGACAAAAATACTTTAGATTTTGGTGGCCTTGGCCAAATTATTGACAAAATAACTAGGTTTTGAAGCATGAATTAAATGTTTTGGGTGAGTAACTACATTTTGCAGACATGCTATAAAGTTTTGAAGTTCCTGCAAACAGTTGTGACATTTGCACTCACAGTTTAGAGAATGTTAAGACTGTTTCGAAAAATGTGCCAAAGCAATTGAGAAAAACTGTAACACTTTGTTTGCTTTGCACAGCAACCCTTTACCCACAAAAAATCACCTTAGGTGATCTGGCAACAGAGGAGAAGTTCCTACCCACCTGTAAACCAACAGCTGCACTATGGCTTTAAACTTCAGGGTCAACTTTAAGTGTGGTTTAAAAGAAAAACTAATTTTTTTTAATTCGGTGAGTGTATTCTGTCTAACTTAAACACTTCTGATTGGCCATTCTGCCTCAAGAAATCAACAGATATGTCTGTGATTGGCTACATTGCTCAACACATTGTAAATAGACACCTTTGGCGCTCTCCAGAAAGGCCTAAGCAGCCCACTAATATTACACTGTTATTAGTTTCAGCAGACGGTGCACACCCCTGTAGATCAGGTCAGTCGCAATGGTGCTCCTAAATATTTTTTTCACAAATTATCACACTGTAGAGCCTTGGAAAACATTTTTTCCTATGTTTCAGTGATATCACAACTATAGCATGTAGGGCAGTATGGAGCATGAAAGCCAGAGTCATAACTGTCTTTGGGCCATACCTGTCTGTGAAGGCGGTCTTGGTGCTCTTGGTTGCATCTGTCCACCACTGTTCGGTACCATTCCCTGTGGTGCCATATTAGCCCCCGGGGGCATCATGGACACCGAAGGGTTATTCATTCGCATTCCAGCTGAAAAACAAGCATTTCTTCAGCAAACATCTGCCTAATGAGACTAGTCATCCTTAAAGGGATACTCCACTTTTTTGGGAAATAGGCTCGTTTTACCACTCCCCCAGAGTTAAACTGTAGGGTTTTACCGTTTTCGAATCCATCCAGCCAATTTTTCTGCTATTTAGAAGAATATCAGTAACAGACAGTTTCTGGTCTCATTGACTTCCATACTATATTTTTTTCCTACTATGGAAGTCAATGAGACCAGAAACTGTCTGGCTACTGATATTCTTCCAAATAGCAGAAAATCGGCTGAATGGATTCGAAAACGGTAAAACCCAACTGTTTAACTCTGGGGGAGTTGTAAAACGACCCTATTTCCAAAAAAAGTGGAGTATCCCTTTAAGACTGTGGTTAGTTTTGTTCAGGCATGTTCTGGGAGCAAGATTGAAGTACAATGTGTTAAGATAATCACTTGTGCATAATTACCCTGGCCCTGCTGCATGGGGAAGCCAACATCCATTCTCATCTGACCAGGCGCACCGAGGGGTCCATTAACCCTTACTTCTTGGCCTCGGATCTGTCCAACCGCAACGTTGATAGCACCTTCACCTGTGTGAACCCGTCAGACGAATCAACACATTTGCTGATTGCACAACAAAGGCTAGAGGGCGTGACGTCACAGTCGGCCGGAGTGACTGCGGTTACACACACTGAGCGGCAGCATTTGTTTTCAGCACGAGCTTTGAGATTGACTGTACAACTAGATTTGACAAGAAATCTGAGGTTTAATTTTTACCGACTGACGGAACTGCAGATCTGGGGAGCAGATGGATTGCAGCAGTTCACAGAAACAGTCAGCGAAAAGTAAATTTGCAGTTACCATTTTGTGTCAATATGCTGAATTTTGGGGTAAAATCATACTCTGTTTTCTGTATTGTTATATACAACTCATCAATTAAATATTTACCATTGTATATTCTGCATAATTGGATGGGTTTTTTTTTTTTTTTTTAAACTATACAAGTTTTAGAGTGATCACATGGATTTAGACCTATATTGTATAAAGCGTTCACAGGCAAATTTGCTTTAAGCGTTTCCCCGGCGTTGAAATCAGGCACATATATGTTTTCAAATATCAGGAAACATGATTACTGGCTGCATGGCAATATCCATGGATCACTGGATCTTTGATTAGTTGTAAGGAACACTATATCGAAATTAAACCTTTAATTTAACCTGATAATCGTTTGTTTTACTCGCGTTTTCGCAGTTTCTCCTATTAAATCCAGTCACGCAGCTGCTCTTTTGCCACTCAGTCCAGCTGAGGGGGGCGTGAAAGTGACATCAATGCATAGTTACCCTCAAAACTGCAAAGCGCCAATAAGGTCAAAGATGCAGTGCAAGGGGTTTGTACCTTCGATCTGCACCGAGAGGATGCCCAGGTCGCGCAGCTGCTGCTGGTTGTTTTGGGCCAGGAGGCGCAGTCGCTCGGCCGCCTCTCTGGGGATGTTGAACGTGACCCGCACACTGTTCCACGGCTCCACGCGCTCGGGCTCCAGCTTCTTCGTACCTTCATGAGACACAGAGTGGAGGACAGCAGAACTATAAGCCAACGGGGATGGGGGGGAAGAGTTTGGGTATTTAAGTCAATGTCTACTAGCTTTATAACACAACAATACAAGAAATAAAACTGCACTTGTCAAGCCATTTCATGAACAGTAGCCAAAACTGAGTCGTAAACTGCACACATTCTAAACACTGAGCAAAGACGGCGTTAATCTTTATATTTTAAAGCTACACTGTGTAACTCTTTTAGTTTATTCTTAGTTCTTTCAAAAATATATGTGCTCATTAATGTATATTTACTTCATTCACGTAATAAAGTATTCTCGTGAGTGTATAATATGCCATTGAAAACACATACGGGTAAGGGGTTCTAATGTCGGTCGCCATGTTGCCCCTCCATCTTGAAAGTACATTAGCCAAAGAGGGACATAACCGTTAATTCAAGCTTTGCTTTTCGTGTTTACGTTTGAGTTAACACTCATGGACGAGGTCGAGCTGGAAGCCATGTTAATCTTGGACTACATTGGCCACCGTAGGAGTTAAAACCAAATCAGAATTGAGAGGAACAGAAACTAATATTCACTGGATGCTCATATACCTTTTCACCGCTAGATGGGGGTAAAAATTACACAGTGTAGCTTTAACATTTGTAGCTAATTAACGAACAATGAGCAAAACATTTGTTACAGTATTTATTCATCTTTGTTGATGTTAGTTAATAAAAATCCAGCTGTTCATGTTAGTTCACAGCGCATTACCTAATGTTAACAAATGAAGAGTTTGGTTCCAAAACGCGATAAACGCCATTTTAAAAAAAAATGAGTTACTGCAAAAATCTGACTTTTCAATACCGACCAGATACAAAACAATGTTTAATTTTACGTAAAATGGGATATCCGCCGTGTTATTATGTAATGTTTTCTCCCTTTCTTTCCAAACCGCGACAAACGCCAGTCTCCCTTTTCTGCAAAATGCCACATATCCGCTAAACCAATCACAACGCACCATTCCACGCAATGTAAACAGTAACGGCAGCGCTTTAACTAACCCGGCTTCCTAGGTTTTCTCTATTTTGTCCTTTCGATCAACAAACAAACAAAAAAATGAATAATTTTGACAGCATTGGTGAACCTGCGGAGGGTAAGGCATCCTGCATGGGTAAACGTGACATCGAAATCGAATCATTTACGTGAGGAAGAAGATAGACTCGGGAGGAGGAAATGCCGGCTGTTGCTTGTTCTCACACGACAGCATCAACTTCTGTCACGCTGACACACTGACCCCAGAGGATCTTTTGGAAAACTTTCAGTTGTTTTATTCAAAGTCAATGAAAACCGAGCAGGACCAAGCCAGTTTACAGCTGATCGCCGTCAAAAAAGTTCAGCGGCGACGTCCCAAGGTTGACAACAGCGATATCGTTAGATCATGCTTAATAAATCATAATTCATGATGATGTGCTCGTCTTAGTTAATGTTTTAATTAAGGTTTTGTTCATCCATGAAGTCATGAATGAAAAACGTTGAACTGTTAAAAAAACGTTGTTAGTTCCTGATGATATTAATATGAATTAATGCATAATTTATTTATCCATGAATTCATGACAATTCATGACATGAACCCTTAAAGTGTTACGAATATTGTTATATTAAAGCAATGGATTTATAGTATGCACAAGAAATTCAATGTGTATAAAATTTTATTTTGATTAATTGCATTTTAAAAAAAAACAAATTATTGGATTTATTGCATTTTGGGGAAAAAACGATCTGTTTTTATAATAAATCTTTGGAAATCAAAACCTGGATTTCATTTTTTATTGTTATTATAACCTACAAATGCTATGTGAAAATGTGAAACCGAAAATAGTGGTTTTCATCTTCCCATTTTCTTGCTAAAGAAAACACAGTTTTACTCAAATTCATCAAAATGGATTTATAACGTTTTGGAACCAAACTCTTCAAATACAACCTTTGATTTAAATAATGTTGACAGTAATATTGACTAAGATTAATAAATGCTGTAGAAGTATTGTTGATTCTTACTGTGTGAGTGAAGTGCATTGTGTGATATTTAAGAGGATCTGTTGACAGAAATGCAATATCATACACATAACTGTGTTTCCAGTGGTGTATAAAGACCTTACGCGATGAAGTGTTGTTTTTATTACCTTAGAAGAGCAGTTTCTACCGCCTCTACACACACCGCAGGTCTCCTTACATCGACATGCCATGTTTCTACAGTGGCCCTAAACGGTTTCGTCTCTATGTTGTGCGTCGCGCAAAGAAGTGAGCTAAAGTCAGCGAATAAAACACTGACATAATGATGAACGAGTAACAATAATATTCGCAATTACATTTTACTGAATAATAAAGTAAACATTTCTTAATTTACCTCTGTAAAGAAACCTCATTGCTGAACTGGCTACTCTCTGCGGTCTCAGACGGCGACCGTAACTTCTGTCGGTTGCAGTTCGTAACCTCACCTCTAGATGTCGCTAAAAACCACACACTGCACCTTTAACTAATGAACCTTATTGCACAGTGTCACTAATTTTTCATAAGAAATCCATCGTTCTCATGAACATGAATATTAATAAAAGTTTCAAGCCAAATCTTGACCTAGTAAGAGCACATCAGGCATCCCGTGTAAGACGGTGTCCAGCTTCTCCTGAAAGTCCTCGTCATTCATGTTCCCTGTGAAAGCAACATAGATTGTGGAGTTGGTGGATCCATCGTCTCCATCTTCCACGCCGGAGTCGTGATCCGTGAGCGAGACGCCTGGAGGTGTTCGGGCCTCCTGGGAGAGCTCAGGCGAGCCGCGCTGGTCCGCCATAGCCCTTCACCTAAACAGCTGTGTACCTCTGGAGACTGGGAGAGGAACAACAAGGTGCGTCACCATCCATGGCAGATCATCACATAAACAGCAATAATATACTTTCCTTAGACCTTGAATACACTGAGATTCGATCATGTGTCAATATTCAAAGTGCCACTGCTATTATGGTTTTTTGGTTATACAACCTTTCATGCAGTGTGTATTACAGCTGTCTGTAAACGTAGGCGCTCTGTAAAGTTATAAAGTCGATCGTGCACGATAAATAAAGTGATTGCCTCCTAAAAGAAAGAATCGTATGGAAGCAAATAAGAGACATAGTTTTGAAATGTCTTATTTTGAAAAACATTTATCTGAATTTATTTGCACTGAATTCACCCCTTTGAAATTATTTTACTTTGGAAACCACACATCTGAATTTATTTTCTTATATTTTATTTCTTATGAATTTATTTTAAATTTTAACAGTTCTTGTGCTGATATCATTAGTTGCCATCGTACTATTTTCAGAAATAGTAAGCTATAATATTGCGTGCGTGATGCAATGCTGTCAGACTCGAGTGTGTCATTTCAGTGCAAAATGATTAGGTCAAAAAGATTTAATATACTGCAAATGGTCTACTAAAAAAAATCTAATATTTTGTACGCATGAATGGCAATTGCACTGATATAAAAACTTTGGCCAATAACCAATAAGACTAATTCTTTAAATTTGATAGCCGATAACCGATATATTGGCCGATAAAGTTGCGTTAAAGTTTAAATTGCAGGTTAACCACCAATTGCAGGGGGGGGGGGGGGGGGTTACTGCTTTTTTTTCTTTGCATGGTTGTGTTTATGGGGAGCAATATAACATGTATCCGTGGTTTTTCTCTTTTTTTTTAAGTCTTATTTTTCATAAATTTCAACTTTAATGTAAGTCGCTTTCTCCTCTGTCATTTGAACGACCGGCTGACTTCCTGAGTCTATGAAACCACTCCCTCAGAAACGGGCAGTGGGCTCAGATTGGTTAGTTTGGGCCGGCGTGTTGTGAATTACGATTGTCATTTTCAGGAATATAATCAAACATAAATTGTATCCATTGTTGACGATGTACAGCGTCCGTGGGAAGCTCGAACACAGAAGACCTGACAGCTGGGTGAACAACACACTCGACGAGCCGCAGAAATATGCGCATGCCCTTTTTGGCATATTCCGTAGGGAGGGGTTGATGCAAATGTATGGGTTAGTGATGTCTAAAACCCGTTGTAGTCCCAGTTGAGTCGTTTTTGTAGGCTTTAAACTTTCTGATTTTTAAAAGACGATATCTCTGCTTTAGGGCTGGGCAAAAAAATCGATTTTTTTCCATATAAAGGGCTCGCGGAGAGTAGTATGAAGCTGCAGACTCGGAGACCTGCATCTACAGTCCCCCTGCACCCAGAGTCCCGCATTCTCAGACCCCTCGTTTTTCGAGACCGCGCCTCCTATCAAATTGTATCGGATAAACATGTGAAGAACAAAACATGAGTATAGGCTATCTTCAATTTTATAGCAAATCGTAGTAGCCTACTCGTTTGATTTATTTTTTAATAAAACTAATTTAGCTCATCGATACAACATATGAATAGTCCATTTAATAGCTATTTGTAAAGATAGTTTGTAACAAGATTTGAGCCGTTAATGTATGTTTTTTCGCCCTCTTCCCCTCGAATATATTTAGATAGCTTACGTTTACGTTAGCCTTTAGCCTTGGACTTTTTGTAGAAATGTCTTAAATGCTGCAGTTATTTTCACTGCCCATTTTGTGCCCCCATATATTTCAAACCCACAAAGTTGTCCAAAGTTTAAAAACATCTCAACTTGAGATTCTCAAGGGACACTCCAACAGAGCAGTGCAACATGGTAACTAACATTTGCAAACATATTTTTCTTTTTTTTCTTTCTTTCTTTTTAAAACATCATAAGACATGTGCTATCGGTCCTATGGAGTTGCCCCTGCCGAATCCAGCAACATATAATTTTATGATTATGCAAAGTGACTTATAAATGAGTTTTTTTAATGCAATTGAAGACAAAAAGTTAAGTCACGAACACTGTTTTTTCTTCCTTTTTTCTTTACAGCAAAATGATGTTTAGGTGATCATTAAATGAAGTACAGAATTGTTTATTATTGGTGTTTCGTCTATTCTGATTTGTTTTGCTTCGCATTCAAAATATCAAAAAACAGATATTATAATGTTAGCATGGTAATGTTAATTAGACCATTATAGGTTGAACTGAAAGAAAAATTGGAATTTTAATTTAAAAAAAATATTTAAAAAAACATTGTAGCAATATAATATCACATAGCCTTACTATTTTTCTGAAGATAGTTCAATCTGCTAATTGTATCCCTTCCATCAGTAACAATTAGTTTTTTGACACATGCATTAAGCAGGGAACACAAATATTTATTGGATAATTTATTTGAAGACCGTAATATTGCATCCTATTGTTTTTAATTGCATTTGGATAATGCGCTGTACTCTGTGTGCGGGTGTTATTCGATCTTTTGAACAGCAGGAGGCGCTGTGTTCGAAAAACGAGGGGTCTGAGAATGCGGGACTCTCGGTGGGGGACTGTAGATGCAGGCTCCGAGTCTGCAGCTTCATAATATTGCTCGCGGACGCGGTGCTGCATCTTCTCGTCTCTCTGCACTAGGCAAGCGCTAAGCGCTGCAGCTGTCGATACACACACGCGTTTAGGAGTCGGGACATGACGGAATATTCACTTGCACAATCGGGCCAGCATTGCATCGTAACCTATGATCGTAACTAACATTTATCATTTATTTGCTCAAGCAATGTTAAACCATCCCGTGCTCGCGCACTCTCAGAGATTTCTTTCACTGCGTGCACAGCCTAAATCCGCCTCACAAACAGCTCGCCAGAAACAAAAGTTTTATCCCTGGATTATATCACTTTAACAGTTAAAACACGCGACATTATGTCAAAACTCTGGTCTTGGTGAGTAACCTCGTAAAGACAGTCGGTAATGTCTTAAATTAGCATTAAACGCGTGTGACAGAAAGTTAATGAAACAGTAATGGATTCGCGCACTAGTTCTTAAAGTGAACGCAGCCATTTGTGTCAGTCATTAATTCTGTTGTCATAACAACAGAATATAGTATTAATTGTAAGCAATCAGAATTAATAGCCTTTGTATTTAATTCAGTCTGGACTAAAAAGACTATCCAGTGTTATTTTACATTGGATTACTTTATTCAGTTTCTGTAGTATATCTGACATACCCAAAAAACTACCCCAAAATGTCTCTTAATTTTTGTCTTTATTCTATTGTATTTATTTGTGCTACTTTTTTCAATTTAATTCAAAGATTGAAATCAAGCATCCATACATAAACTCTTAAAAAAATTACATTAACATTTAGGTAAGATCAATGTAAAAAATGTCTAAATATTTATATATTTATCTATCTTAAACATAAAATAACATGATGCTGTTTGATCAAGCTGTGCGACTGTTCTGTGCGACTCTTTTTTTGCATATTGCATCAAAATCCTGTCTAGTCTTTGTATGCATTTAGTGTACCTAAAATAAAAAGTGTTTTATATATAGGTTTATGGCTCTTAATTTTCTTGTATTAATTAACCACTAGTAAACTTATGTCCACTGTTCTTTTTTATAAATATAGGATTTTTATTACATCTTCATTATAGTTGAATCGAGAATCAAATCAGGAATCGAGAATCAAAATCGAATCGAACTGAGAGCTTGCGAATCGAAATCGAATCGAAATTGAAATGTGAATCGATACTCTGCTTACACTGAACTTTCAGCGCTGCAACTTTGCAGATACTGTTCATGCACCAACAGCAACATTACACACTATTTAAAATGAAAAGTGAAATCGCAGTCAACCCACCCCCCCCCCCTTTAAAATGCATTAAAATAACATTTATAGGGGTTTCTTCAAACATGTTTTTGTACAGTAACTAGGTGATGACGTCATGAGAGGGAGTGTGGGCGGTGATACACTCACTGTGTGTGTGCGGGGTGAGGGAGAATAAAACGATTCGCGGGACTCCAGCAAACTACAAATAGCTAATAAAACATTAAAACTAATACATTTGTATTCATCTGTTGCAAGAAAAGCAACAAGAACAACTAAAAGAAAATAAAAACGATTAACAGGCCAGGGTTTCTATTTATAACACGTTTGCAGCATTGAGTGATGTAGCCAATCACAGACGTTGATTGATTTGTTGAACGCAATGGCCAATCAGAAGCATCTATGATAGACTCCCCTCACTGCTCAAAACCGACTTTTTGGTCAGTGATGATGAATTCTGTATGCTGGCCAATCCTCTAATTATAGCAAACAAAGTGTAGATATTATAAAAGAAGATTCATTGATCATAACAATTCTACGCATTCCGTAAGCGCTATGATTGGTCTGCTAGAACCGCTCCACAGGTTTCACATGCTCCCTCTGCATGCGCATGCTCGTCAACGAGGACAATGATGCAGAAGTATAAATGAAAACCAACGCGTAGTCTATAGCAATGTTTCCCAACCCTGTTCCTGGCGGCACACCAACGCTGCGAGTATTCTTTGTCTCCTTTATCAAACACACCTGATTCGACTCATCAGCTCATAATCAGATGGGTTAATGAGCTGATGAGTTGAATCAGGCGTGTTTGATTAGGGAGACAAAGAATACGCACAGTGTTGGTGTGCCGCCAGGAACAGGGCTGGGAAACACTGGTCTATAGTGTAGAGGCTCCGCCGTAGGTCCGACACAGAAGTATAAATCAGCCTTACTGTACGTTTACACCGCCGCCGACTTGAGCTTCCAAAGCGGCCGGAAGTCATTCATTTTCAATGGAAGCTGGCTACTCTCAGCTGCAAGAAGCGTCAAATCCATCGGCGTCGCGTTTTGGGCGTTTTGAGAGTCAATCAGAAAGTTGAAAGAAACTCAACTTTATGGTAATAATGAGCTGTGACGCGGTTCAGCGGCAAGCAGCGGCAAAACGCCAGCAGCCAATCGGAATATA